AACTGGACCGATGGAGGTCCAGATAATGGCTACATCAGCCACCAGAGTACCGAACGTGCCGGCTGGCGGCCGCTCATTTGCCGACTGCGTTTGGTTTGTTGGGTTAGGTTTAGAAGAATTCCTTATTGTGGTGGAAGATGATTCACCTGCAAGTATGCAAGTTATGTTGATTTTGTTATTTTCATCTTGTGTTGTGAGTACTACTAGTTCAAAAAACGTTCCAACGAGTTTTTAAGTTATTTAGTATATTACTGTTTTTGATTGCGCAGTCGCATTAGCGCGGTTACGGACGATAATATTACAGTAATATTATTGCAGGTTGGAACAAACCTATTATAAAAACTATTTTAATAAATAACTGAAAGTTAACTTCTGGAATGACGTTACATCTTGTCATCTTATATCCAGAAATTAACTTTAATTACTTGTCAAAATAGTTTTATAATACCCGCCCTTAAGCGTAGTTCACAGAGATGATGCGAATCACGCAGGCCACGCCTATTGGTGGGTTCACTGTCAAGAAAAGTCACATCTGTCAGGGTTGAATATTTTGGTAATTCGCAAAATTTGAAATCAAGGGCGAGCGGGAAAATTGAAAGTGGTTTCTCTCTCTGCTTCGAAATATTTGGCAGCCTCCTTTTCCTCTTGCCTCTGGCAAAATTACCGAATTTTCTCAACGAACAACTTCCATGAATTCATATAAACATACACTGGAGAAGCTCCTCATATTGAACTTCTATAGAGTATAGTTCGTACGTTACAAAGGACCAGCATCTGCCCGGTATTCATAGACGGGTGCTTGGCTTAAGCTCCGATTTTTGACAGTTGTGAGCATCGTTCCGTGCTGTTTGGAAACGCAAATATGGCGTCAAGCCGTATTTGAGCCAAGGCGCAACCTTGAGCATCGACTATGAATACGGACGGGCCTTAAGATGTTCGTTAATCATTAATTTGTCAGATTATGTCAGGAGAATCATGAGAACGTTCCGTAATGCTGGTGCCTGAAAAACCGGTTATATACACAGAACGCGGTTCCTGAAAATGGTTATGTTAAAAAAAGGCAACCGCAAACGCTGATCGGTTTTTCGGTAACTCATTCTATCTCTTTCGTTTCTATTTGATTCAACTCAACTATCAGTGTCAATGTCACTTCTTCGTCTTCGATTGGAAAAGCGTTCCGTAAAAACAGAAATTTTCAGCAATCACTGTCAACCGACGTACCGATCGGACCTTCGGTCGTTAAGTTGCGCTGCTATGTTATACCGAACCTTGGTTGTGGTTATACCACAGAATATACATATAGCTTATGGCATTCGGTGATTCGATGGTGGAACCTACAGTGGCTAAATAAACCTTTACATACAGTGGCGACAATAGTGGTCCCGCCGCCATCTTGTTCCCAACCTCTTGTTACTTTTAAATATTAATATATAGGATTTAAATGGACATCTATCATAAAAAATTGAAATCGACGTATTTGATGACTGTTGATTTATTTTGTTTTTATTTTATTTTACTTTTCAATAAACACGAGAATACGAAGGGTTTTGCTTTTTATAAGGTTTTTTATTACGAAAAACTAAATACTAAATCGTTTTTTAAAATGTGACGAAAAACATTCTTACAGACTAACTTAACCTCATTTTTTTATGTTGACAACCAAATTCCTTCAACCAGGGTTGCCAGATGGTTATAACTAATTTCCCCCAAAGGATTTCAAAAATACCCCAAAAATCACTGTTTGTCAACTAAAATCCCCCAAATAAATAAATATAGATTTATTCTCGACTCATACTTGCAAAAAAAAAAAAGACAAATTCGTTAAATATTTTAAAATAAAACTCATACCCTTACCACTTTTTTATTTGTTTATATTTTTCTAATCCCAAAAATAAAATGACAATTGACAAATGACAAATGAAATAAAATGTTGTGACTGGTGACAGAACAGATAAGTACAGTTGTACCAAGAAGTTTGGATAGTTTATTATTATATTATTAAGCTGTATTAAAATTTAGAATACAGCAACTTAGAGCACTACGCACTATAACCGCAAAGAAATGCAAAACGCAAAATAAAAAATAAACAATGCAAGCAACGTCGGTCGTTGGGGATTCCCCCGATCCGATTTGTCAAGTCAACTGTCATTTGTCATTACAAATTAAAATAGATCTAGAACTGAGCGTTTGCGTTCCTCTCGAGAAGAAGCAAACTGTATCATTTTTATTGGAACTTAATTGAAAAAATAGATGGCGCAGTTGTTTTAATACATTTTTTACTTTAGTTTTATTCATTGAAATATACCCAATTTCCCCCAATAGCGAAAATTCTTACCCCCAAAAAATCCCCCAGAAAAAACTATCCCCCAGATTTTACCCCATCGACTTGAAAATCCCCCAAATTTGGGGGAAAATCCCCCAATCTGGTAACACTGCCTTCAACTGCCAATTCAATGTTGCCAACTCCAAAATATAACATTTTATGATTATTATTTAAACTATAAATTTTTGTTTTCTCAACAATGACCATTATTAGGTCCATCAAATACGTTGTTTTCCATGATTTATGATGGTTGTTCACCTAAATCCCATATATTCATATTTAAAAGTAACAAGAGGTTGGGAACAAGATGCGGCGGCGTTTTCAAAATGATTATATGGGATTTTAAAACCAATCAAAAATGAGACAGCAATTGTCGCCACTGTCACAGCCCCCTACATTTAACAAGCCATGAAGTTAAAAAGGCAACACCGCAATCTTACCGCCAAGTGGTGCTGGTGGTGTTTGTTTGTATAAATATATATTTTTTATTTTATTAATATGAATCACAAAAAATACATAATTTATTGTACTAAAGGGCCAAAAACAGTAATTCAATGAATAATTTAACTATTTGTGTAAATAAGAACAGTAAATAATTGATTTAAATGAATATGTTTCTAGAGTCTAAAGTGTTATAGGCCTATGTTTCAGTATGTCTTTTGAAAATCTAACTTTTTCTTTCTTCGGGATTTTTTCGGAAGGCAAGTCCATTCAAATACTTGAGCTGATTTTCGAAAATAAGAGGTACCTGGTACCTACTTTTAAGAGTTGGACGTTTTAGTTTGAACTCTCGAACTACGCCTTTATCCTTGTTTGTTTCAAATCTAATTATTTCGGTTTCTTCAAAATGCTTACAACACACCACAGAATTTTTCGTTATTGTATAATCTCGGGTATAATTATCTTGGTGTATTCCTTTCATCCACATTTTTTGCACTTCAGAATTTTTTTGGAAATAAAAATGTTTGCATTTCTTCAGTTTTTAAGGAACTCCTAATAGTTCGATTTGCACCCAGGAACACAGTAGTTTCATGGCCTCTGGAACAAGTTTAAATATCTTAAGTAATATATCGAGACCTATGCTCTTGCAGACAAATATTAATATTGTTTTTATTGTTTTACCTTACCTTACCTTCATTTTTGCTCCTGTACCCATTTGCTAAAAATGTGCAATCAAAGCACAAAGGAACAGGTATCAACTAAATATGGGCAATATATTGGTGTGTTTCTATCCACTTTTTCGTCAATAATGCCCATAAAAATACTAAATTGCAACAATACACAATGAAAGCAATACACAGAAACACATAACCCAATAACAAAATAGCACCATACGCGACGTAGCCGTCATTTCCAATTTCATGGCTTGTTAACTATAGGAGGCTGTGCCACTGTGGTAATAAAGTCACTGTAGTGGAACCTACGCATGACGCCATTTTGAATATTAATAAATTGACACAACGAGCATTTACCCAACGGAATATCGATGCGTAACGCGTAATTTTAATCTTCCGGATTTTTAAATTTATCATGGTCATGGTAAAGGCATCGTATTAATTCGGGGCAATAGTCTGGTTTCCTCGAAGCTTTAAGCTTCATTCTCAGAGCGAATTTCGCGCAACTGAGAATAAAGCTCAGGAATCTGAGGAACTCTTGTTCCCTCAATATCCAACTATCGTACAAGAAGACCAGATAATAATCATTAATGATATTTTGAGCGCTCAATATCCAACAATCATACAAGAAGAAGCCCAGATAATAATCAATGATAGACACAATTACGAATTATCTTTACCAGCAGTTGTCGAGCTTGGTGAAAATGTTGACTTGAACTCATTTTTAATAATATTAAACGCGATAATGCACAGTCTAATAACTTTTTATTGTTTTGTTTCAGCACGTAGAAATAAAGAAACGAATCGAAAAACTTATTGATAGTGAGTATATTGAGAGGGACTCTACGGAGTTAACCCTATACAGATATTTTACGTGATTTTACTGTGTAATTTCAACACACGTTTATCACTTGAAGAAATTTCAACAAGCATAAGTTTCTGAAGAATGCAATTTTTTAGTCTTAAGTTAACTTATTTCAACATAATTAATGTTTATTGTCCTGTGGTTAGAAGAACATCTAAAATAAAATATTTGATTTATTTGACATGGTGGTGGTGTTGACTTCATGATTTCTCTTTTAAATTTATAAATTAAATTTCCAAGCCCACACAATTCTGTATAATGATCATAGGATAACAAACTTTTAACTTATTTTAATTTAATTATTGTTCGTTCCTATTATTTTGTATTAATTGTTATATGTGTAAGTTTTGATTTTGAGTTTCATTTAAACTATAAAATATCATTTCATTTTATTTTTTGTGTTATTTTTATTAATTGTAAAAAAAAGTAGAATGGGTATATTTTCTTAAAAATGTTATGAAAAAAAATTATTTTTGAAAAATTAGTTGTAAAAAAGCAAGAAAATGTTTGTGAATAAAATATGTACCTACTCAGTTTTTTGTAAGCCGTTTGTGTGTTATTTTTTCAAGTATTGGTACTAATTTTCAATGTCAACATAGAATTGTTCAGGAAAAGAAAAAAAGTCGGAAGAGACAAATGGGCTCCATTTTTTTTTTATTTGTGCCTTGGAGGGGGTCATAGGATGAGCGAAATCAAATTAAAACATAAAAGACAAAAATAATTTATTCAACAATAGAGCTTTTCATACTTCCAAAGCTTAACATAATAAAACATAATACATACACATGATAAATAATATTACACTGAATATAGGTGACCAATTAACGTAGAGAGAAGAATGAAATTCTAGTCAGTTTTTCTGCAAAAAAAAAGGAAAATAATAAATAAACAATAAATACTTCGATCAATAATACTGAAAAGTATGATTATTTTGTTAGGATGTTATTCCAAAATGCAAATAGGAATTGTGCTATTTTAGGAGCCACGCCACAGGTACACATTGCAAACAGGCAGCTGAAGAAAAGTCAGTAACATCACCAGGCATAAAAGTGTTAGATGGTGAATTAGTAAAGACCTATCTCGCTATCACCACAGACAAAAAATTACCATGGCCGCATGTCAGCCTGTAAGATGTGATCAATTACTCTTTGAACGACATCTGTGCTTTTTGCCGAGCCTCCCAAGTCTAAAACAAAAATAAAATTAGTTTGAAATATATTGGAAAGATTATAATGAATAAATACCAGGAGTTAGTATCTGATCCTCAGAAACAGTTTTATATATTGCTCTCTGGATCAAATCAGCATGTCTCTTGTGGCCTAGATGGTTTAGCATATCAACAGAAGCATTTAACATAGCGAGGGGATTAGCGACATTTTTTCCTGCTATTGCAGTACCAGTATTACGGGTTCCAGGCTCAAAAACAGCGTACTGAAAAATATGATTCAATTCAGATAATTATTATTAGGTACCAAAGAAAACTAATACAACTTACATGATCCCCATAATTTCTCCCAGACAAAATACCGGCACCTCCAATAAGCCCACAAACAACATTTGAAACAATACTTCCATACAGATTGGTCATAATCATGACATCAAATTGGTGAGGCTTTGACACAAGTTGCATGCAGCAATTGTCAATGATCATGTCGTTGTGTTCAACTTCTGGGTACAACTTTGCGATTTTTTTCGATGTTTCAAGAAACAGCCCATCTGACAATTTCCTAAACAGAAAGGAAAATATGATAAGAAAAAGTTGGTTCAAAATGTATGTCAACCTACATAATGTTTGCTTTATGAATAGTGGTGATCTTCTTTCTTCCAGTATTTTTAGCAAATTCAAATGCGTATCTAGCAACTCTATCAGAATTTGTTTCCGTAACGACCTTCATGCTTTCAACCACACCATCCACACTCTGAAAAATAAATTAATTTTCATTGGGTTTTTAAACTTTGGCAAAATTAAATTGATATACTTATGTAATGGGTGGTAGGAAAATACATCTCGCGAATACATATTATAAATTGCGGGGTCGTTCTACATCTGTTTCTTGAGAGAAAATGGCAAGAAAGTAGAGAGAATTTGAACCTCTGATTTTTGGTGAAATCAGCAACAATAGCTTTGTTCCAACACAGCAAAAAACCGTACAATGAACCGTCACGATTCTGCGCAAAATCTAAAATTTGTGCAAAGAATACAAAATTCGTATACTGTGTGGTTTCGAAACCATTCATGGGACGGTTTTTCGACGTGTTTGAACAGACCTAATAGACTAAATTTTCGCAGCATCAAGACAAGAAATTAGAAAAGCATTTTTTACACTGTTAAGGCCAGTCGCCAGTAAGACGTTAGCCCTTTATGTCTATATATGTATTTTCCTATATCCCCAAAACAAGCGTCCAGCCAGTAAATTTATTTAAATACCTCGTGTTCTAACATGGCATATTCCCCTTCAGTATTTTGACGAATAATCACAACATCGATATCTTTTTGTCTAGCTGGAACATTTGGAAATGATTTGCAATGTAAAATGTTGATGAACAAATCCAATTCATTCCTTAGCGCTACGTTTCTTGATGTTGATCCTGCAGTTTCACTTTTTGTTTCAATATTTCCTAGAGACAATCACTGTATTAGACGGACAATACATTTTCCTTTTTTAATATATGGTTATACATATTTTACTGATGCATATTTTATACACAAAACAGGTAGACTTTTGGTACATAAAAAAAAAAAATTGTCCTCAACGTGAACCCAGATAATTTCGCCGAAAATGCGTTATTTTGATTTTAGGTCACCTATTTATTTATAAAATTATACTCACTTATATACATATTTGCTATACAAACACCTCCCAAAATAAATTCTGTGTGTGATGTAAACTAACTTCGCACTTTTCTGCTTAGTTAATTATTGTTGTGTCTAGTGTCTTTGAACTTGTAAAAAAGTTATCTATTTGGCGGATGTAAGAGTTATATTGCTCTTTGTTCCAGTTCTAGTGAGAAGCGGGAAAAAAATTGAGTTTATTATAAGCAAAGAGAAGCGTGTTTTTTCAGAGCCTTGCTTACTATAACAGACTTCCAAACGTAAAAAAGGTGATTTCAGTACCTACTCAGTTAGGTATCCTCTCTTTCCTATTCTTTTTTGGAAATAAAAAAAAATCTTTTATAAACAACATAAATAAGTAAACTATTCTTATCTGGTTCCTAAAGGAGGCTACTCACTACGTGATACTTGCCAAGTTTCATGTAATTTGTATGAAGAGCTTATGCTCAAATCGAGACTTGTACTTGCCGTTGGCTGTCGGTACATCGTTGCAAGTCAAGGGGCGCGAGTAGCACATGGCAAGTAGACAAGTCGAAGCGCAACATTACTCGGTATAAACTTTTAGCATTTACTCAGTATAGTCGTGACAAGTTTTGATTGTTTTGTTTGTGGTTGAAATGAAGTGGAGTTGTGGGAGGGTTTTGCTTTTTTTGAATATCTATGCAAAGGATCCTGTTATTTGGGAAGCTACTCATGTCTTGCTTTGCACAAAAATAAAAACGAAGTCCATGATGCCTGGAAACATGTTCAAGCCGAGTTTTCTGAAGAAATTCCTATTGCGGATTTAAAGAAAAAAAATCGTTAATGGCAAACTGTTTAGATTTTTTTAAATTTTTTAATAAAAGGTAACCACAACACATGACTATAAATGCTGAATCCTGAATACGATTATCACTCTCGTACTCCAAGAATATTTAATCCACCAACAAATTCAATCACAAGCTTGCGTTCATGACAACTTGAACTTCCTGAATTCCATACAGCATTGGCTACTCGGCACATAGTGTGTACAGTTTATTTTCACTTGTAAAAGTGCCAAACTACAGCCAAGTCAAGTTACTTGCCAAGTATTACATAGTGAGTAGCCGCCCTAATAACATTTAATATTCTGTTCAGGATCCGACTATCTTGTTTTCTTTTTTTTTAGAATTCAGCTTCAACAAATGTCTTTTATCTCAATGTGTTAACAGAATTGAAATATCCACTCAAGTCTTTTACAAATGAATGGGTATTGGTATTGCATTTGCATGTCTTGTTTCTTTTTTTCATCGCAGTTATTTGGACAGCGACCCATATTAAAATTAGTGGAAATAGTTTTTATTCTTGCAGTAGCTGCAAGAAAGAGGGTACTGCTGATAACTTGGAATTGAAAAAGGTTTAAGAAGAACATGAACGTCTAAAACAAGTTACCTAGTAACCAGGTGTCTAAAGCTGCGTCCAGATTAGTAAATAAATGCGTTGCGTTGAATTCGAAATTCGCCACAAATTTTGCGGCGCAAATTTGATATCTTGAACCACATAAATATTTGTGTTGTGCGCCATGCGTTCTTGCTCAACACGTGTGTGGCGGTGGTGTATAGCTTTCCTATAAGCTTTGTATCCATTCTGGCAATTCTGGGCCCAATATTGTGTATCAAAAATTCAAAATTATTTGGGGACATACACAAATTTTTTTTGAAATGCCCTGTACTTTCATCCATAGATAGAATATTCAATAATGTGCTACCATCAGAGTGTTTCTTATGCTGATACAGATACTTAATCCAATAGCACCTGGTTCTGTTTCTTTTTTTCTTAATAAGAAGGCACATAACTATGAAAGCAGCACAAAAATACGTCCACACTAGAATGATGTTGCGCCGCAAATCCCTTTGATGTTTTGAAAAAACCGACAACCCGCAGATCGCGTCTGATGAATTTGGCGAACATTTTTGCGTGCGTCCGTATGCAGCGAACAGGTCCACACTCTCATAAATTTGTATCGCACACACATATTTGTGCCGAATGCCACGTACAACGTAAATTTTTACTAATGTGGACGCGGCTTAAGAGAAAAATATTTACACATAATGAAAAGTTTGAAGCTGCTTTGGCTGAGAAAGATGACAAGAAAATAAGAACGATAAAGGAATGGAATAACAGGTATCATGAAAAATCAATATGTTAACACAATAATAGTATTAGGTAGGTAGAGCATTGTTGTATCTGCATGAAATCCTGCCAAAAAAATCAAAGGACAATTTGATGTGATTTACACTGACATGGAAAAGAGTACCCCTCAAAATCACAATCTGTCAAAATCATTGGAGCAAAATCTAAAATGTATACCTACCTGTAGTTCAGGGTTATTATTATTGCAGATGATCTCAAAATGCTTCTAATAGTAACAACTGTAAATGCAAGGGTCTGCTGAGAGATGCTTATTTTGTTGTTGATTGATGTGGTTCCAATGGTTTCAATGTTAATGTTTATTTATTTTATTTATTTATTCAATATACGGGTTCACCCCTCTATTACGAAACATTACTACTACTACAATCACTATATTTACTAACATAATTTAAAAACAAAAATTTAAAACTAACAAGATCAACCAAATTTTACAAAACTCACTAATGCAAAAGATTAAAATATAGTATCAGTGGTGAGATTTATACCAAAACGTCACCCCTTTGGAGAATTACCAAACGGGATTGAACTGACGACGAAACTGTAGAAATGAAATTCCAGTTACCTCAAAATTGTGAGCATTTACTAGTCTAGAAAATCTAGATAAAGGGCTGTTATATGTATAGTTGCTAGAATGATATTTTTTTGTTTTGAGGTTATAATTAAGTAAACAGTGTTAATTTGTGATGACCGATTTAGTATCAAAAAAAAGGTGTAAATTTTGCAAAAAGGACGTAAAAGACTCATATGATTGCCAGATTTGCCTATCATCGTACCACAAGAGTTGTGGTTTGCAATATAAGGTGCTAAGCAAAGAACTTAAAGCCATTTGTTGTGAACGCGAAAAAAGTGTGGTTAATGAGACCAAGGAAAACATGGACAAGCAGCTTCTAATGGACATTAAAGCAATGTTTCAAAAGGAATTCAAAAAGTTTGAAGAAAAAATCACCAAGCAATATGACAGTGAAATGAAGGATCTCAGAGCTAGCATTGAATACATGTCCGAAAAGTTTGATCAACAATGTAAGCTTTATGAAGAATGTATGATTGAAAACAAGAAAACAGAAAAGCAAAATAAGGAACTAAATGAACGAGTGCAGCTCCTTGAAAATAAGCTAAATATAATACAGCAGAATGAAAAACAAAACAATATTTTGGTTAATGGAATTCCAATCCAGGAAAATAAAACGATTAAGGAAACTGTATCTGAACTTTTTGTGGGAATGGGTATGAAGCTGGGTGAGGCAGATATTACTCATTGCTATAGAATTAACACAAATGCCGAAACCAAGCCAATACTTATTAAATGTAAAAACTTGGAAGTCAAACAGAAAGTATTTAAACAAAGAAAGGAAATTAAGAGCATTACTACCAAGGACTGTAAATTTGCAGGACCAAATAAACAAATTTACCTGAATGATGAACTCACAAAGCATAATCAAGGATTGTTTAAGGCTGCAAGAGAATATAGAAATAAAAATAATTTCAAAGCTGCTTACGTTAGTAATGGGAAAATATTTATTAAAAAAACGGAGCAGGGTTCTCCAATCAGAATATATTCTGAGCGAGACCTTATGGCCTAGACTACCAGTGTCAAATGACTAAATAGTAAATACTGTAAATAACTTGTAGATATGTATTTATAGAGGAGCTTCACTTGAATTTGTTGTATACCAATATAAGAAGCTTAAGGAATAAAATGGAGGATATTGAAACTATGGTAAAAACTTATAATGAGCCTCAAATATTGGTATTTACGGAAAATTGGATATATAAGGAAGAATCAAAATCATATAATGTTGATGGGTATAACATGGAGCATAACTGCAGACCAACTAGAGGTGGAGGCGTATCAGTTTATGTAACACAGTCTCTAAAATACACTGTTGAAATGAATAAATCCATTAACAATTGTGACTGGTTAATAATAAAAGTAATTAGTCCTAATATCACAATAATCGCTGTATACAGACCTCCGTCTGTTAATTTCAACCTCTATTTGAATGACTTGGACAACATTTTAAATGATTTGAGGAATCCCACTATCTTGATTGGAGACATTAACATGAACCTATTCAGGGATTCGGAGTTGAAAACAGACTATGAAACTATAATAACTGGGAACGGCTTTAAATTCTTAAATACGACATTGGCTACCAGAGAAGTAAATAACTCAAAAACACTTATTGATCATTCAATTATTAATATAGAAAATTCAAATATAACCTATAATCATTATGAAAGTTGTTTAACAGATCATAAACTGCAAATAATAGAAATCAATCAATTTAAAGTAAAGCCACCAGCAAAAGAAAAGCGATCTATCAATGTTTTAAACAAAGACCTCTTTTATAGGCATTTTGATGAAAAATTATCTGAGACCTATATAAATGACTTTGCAACACTAGCTGAAGTCATACAAAATGCAAAACGAACATCAATTACTAATAAAACCATAAGAGTTCGAAATAAGACATGGATTAATAATAATTTCTTGAAACTGATAAATGAAAGAGATAAAATATACTCAAGGCTAAAGCGTAACCCGGACAATGAAATGTTAAAAAAGGATTTTAAAACTTTAAAAAACCAGTGTAACAATTTAAAAATCAGACTGAAAAGTAACTATATATCCAGTAAATTTGAAAATGCACAGGGAGACTTACGTAAAACATGGCAAATTGTTAATAATGTGATTGCAAACAATTATAACAATAACAGTCAAGAAAACATTATAGATTTCTTGTTAATCAATAATAAAAGAATTGATGATGATCAAGAAATTGCAGACTGTTTGAATGCTTATTTTCGAGATATAGGAGGCACTATTGGCAAGGAGGTTGAAGAACAAAGGATACAATGTGATCAGGTGGATTTTAATGAGAAATTTCCTGAAATATATGAACAACAATCCATATTTTTGAAACCATGCACTGAAGTAGAAATTGACGAAGTTATCCGTGAACTTAATGCAAAAGCAGCTCCTGGACCTGACGAAATTACAACCTCTGACTTGCGAGTTATAAGGAATCTGATAATTCCAGTGTTGGCCAGGCTAACAAATGATGTTTTGTCAACCGGTCGCTATCCAAATTGTCTTAAACGAACTAAAATAATTCCAATCCATAAGGCTGGCAGTCAACATGACCCTTGCAACAAGAGACCTATTGCTCTGATATCCATTTTGTCTAAAATTGTCGAGAAGATAATAAAGATTAGATTATATGACTTTATTGAAAAAACCTTTAAATTTGATCCGCAACAGTATGGCTTCCAAAAGGCTGCAAATACGCAAGTAGCTGCAGTTGACATGGTTGAGTATATCTCGAGTAGCTTGGACAGGGGCAAATATGCGATTGCGGTTTTCATAGACCTTCAAAAAGCGTTTGATACCGTAAATACTAAAATTCTCTTGAAGAAGTTGGAGGGTATGGGAATTAGAGGAGTAGCACACAATCTTATGGAATCTTATGTCACAAATCGGAAGCAGTATACAGTGGTCAATCAGCAAGAGAGTGGAGTGGTCATCTCAAACAGTGGAGTTCCACAAGGCTCGGTCCTGGGACCCTTGCTGTACCTCTTGTATGTGCACAGTCTCTCAAAGGCAAACCTAAACTGTAAATATATAACATTTGCTGATGATACAGTGTTACTTTTCGAAGATTCAAATATCAAAGACCTGCAGCAAACCGTTAATCACTCCCTGTCTACCTACTATAAATGGCTTCTCAAAAACAACTTGAAGATTAACGTTAACAAAACAGTGTTTATGACTTTCAAACAAAAAAACAAATTGATATCCAATCCTATAGACATAAAAATCAATGACACGTCATTGAAAATGGTTGACTCCTACAAATACTTGGGGCTGACAATTGACAAAGAGTTAACATTTAAACTACATGTCAACTTATTAAGAAGAAAACTTGCTGGTGCATGTGGTGTGATTAAAAAATGTGTCAACTTTCTACCTAACTGCATGAAGTCTGTAATATACGAAACAATATTTAAATCACATCTGCAATACATGTGTACTGTATGGGCTGCAGCTTCAAAGACACTACTTCAAAAATTGCAAAGGTTGCAAAATAGATTCATTAAATATCTCAATCATCTACCAAGACTCCACCCTACTTTTCAAATCTATAGAGAGAATAAGATGTTGAAAGTTGAACAAATCGTGCACCTTGAAGAATCCAAACTTATGCAAAAAATTATACACAAGCAAGTCAAGACGAATACCAAACCTATAAGAAATACTGACATTCATGGGTATTGCACCAGAAAACGTGGCAACCTGCACATAACATCATCCAGAACTAACATTGGAAGAAACAGTGTTGTTAACAGAGCAATGATGACATACAACAATATTCCAGAAAACATACGGAGAATAATTTCTCCCTTTGGGTTTAAAAAAAAACTTAAAAAATTGTTTGTGATGCAGAACTGTTTGTGAACCCAGAATTTTCTAGTTCCTATTTGCTGATGCACCTAATTTATGAATAATTTATGAATATTTATTTAATTTATCCAAATTTCTTTAACTATTACTATAGCTATATTAAAGTAAATAACCTCAAATATTGAAAAAACTCTGTTACATAAAAGCTAGGACTCGGTACCAGTCATGTACATGTACTGTTTTGAGTTCATAAATAAAGTTTTATATGGAATATGAAACAAATTGGTACTACGAGTGTTCCGTGAAGGAACCTTGAAGCATATCTGTTTGAGTAGATCCGGACAGTCTATATCACCAGACACTAACTTGAAAATGGTACAAAGGTCACAAGAAATTCGATCAGACTTGAGACTATTAATAGATAGGATGTTTCGCATATCTTCATACATCCATTGATCACGAGGAATTTGGAGTCTGTACCCACAGTAACGTAAAAATTTATTTTGAACAGATTCAAGCCTGTCTATATGTATTTGATAAATAGGGGTCCAGATTGGAGAGGCATAATTAAGTATACTTTTCACCAAAGAAATATATAAATGACGTACAGTTGGAACAGAAAAATCAGAACAGTTACGCAAAACAAACCCCAGCCTAGTGAATGCCCTAGATGATAGTGCATTTATGTGAGGAACCAAAGACATTTGGCTGTCGAAAATAACTCCCAAATCAGGTATTTTGTCTACTCTATTAAGAGATGAGTTATCTATATTATAATTGAAAAGTATTGGACTTTTACTTCTAGTGAATGTTATACAGTGACATTTTTCAATGTTTAGCAACATGTCATTACTCTTGGCCACCCGTTAAGCATATTCAAGTCGTGTTGGAGATTGAAACAGTCACCGACATTATTTATCTCTAAGTATATTTTGAGGTCATCAGCAAAAAATAAAGGCTTACAGAAAGTAAAGCATTTAGTTAAGTCCATTATGAATAGTACAAAAAGTAATGAGCCCAAATGAGACCCTTGAGGCACACCTCACGTAGCTGAAATTTCTCGTGAACAGAAATTATGAATTTTTACTAGTTGCACTCTTCCTGACAAATAACTTCTAAGCCATTCTAATAAGTATGTGGGAAACCCCATTGCCTTTACCTTTGCCAGTAAAATTGAGTGGTTAAAACGATCGAAAGCCTTACTATAATCTGTATATATTGAGTCTATTTGAGACAAGTTACCCAATGATGAAAGAATGTCTTGCTCGTAGATCAAAAGGTTACTCACAGTAGATCTTTGGGGTACAAATCCATACTGAGATGGATCAATAATACTCCTACAATGCCACTGTAGATAGGGTATTAGGAGCTTTTCAAAAAGTTTAGGAACCGACGACAGAATACTTATTGGCCGATAATTCTTAACATCATGTCTGTCCCCAGTCTTAAATATTGGCAAAACGTAGCTAGACAACCAAACTACTGGAAACTTGTATTCTGATAATGACTTATTAAACAAAAAATGCAGAGGCTTAGCAAGAGAATAAACACATTTTCTTAAGAAGAAAGGTGATAGCTTGTCCGGACCTGAGCTGAGTTTGTTAGGCAATGATTGTATTCCAACGAACACCTCTTGTAAACTAAATTCTATTTGCCCGATATTCACAACTTCAGTTATATTAGTATCATCAATATTAAAATCAGTGTTCGAGTTATCACTATAACAGTTTGAAAAATGAGTAGCAAATTTTGATTGATTTGAAATATCAGAACCATTAGAAACTGTCACATTGTTGAGATTCATGGTAGAGGGAATGCCGTTTTTTGACCTTAATGAATTAAACCATTTCCAAAAACCTTTAGGGTCGGTATTTATATTGTTCTCTGTATTAGCTATATAATCCCTATGGCATGCATCAGATAATTGTTTACACCTAGCTGGAAGATTACTAAAATGTAAATAATCATTTTTATTATTAGATTTCTTATACTGGGTATGAGCTGCTTTTTTATCTCTAACAAGCTGTCTTAGTTCCCCAGTGAACCATACAGGAAAAGACAAAGAGGTTTTTCTCTTAAGAGGAACAAATAAACAGATAGCCTGTTCTAATATTGCATAAAATTTTTCGGTTGCAGTGTCAATATTTCCCTCCAGTACTAACTCCCAATTTATAGGAGCCAAAAAACTATTAATTCCAATATAATCAGCACTAGCAAAGTCCCTAAAAAACTCCAAGAAATTCAGTTCTTCGTTCTTCCCAACTTGAAGTGTGCAGCAGTAACTCCTATGATGATAACTATCAGGAAAAAGGGCATCATCGGCTATGTTGGTGCACAAATCAGAGTCCCCAGAGCAAAAAATTAAATCCAAATATTTGTTGCGCGGGTTTGGGACAAGATTCTTCTGGTTTAGGCCGAAAAAGCAAAAGTTGCCACAAATTGTTTCTGCAGGATAACCACTGGGACATTGTACTAGCTGTTCACATGCATCTGACAAGAACCAAACAGCGGAGCGCAGATTATAGTCACTAAATAAATGAACGGACGAACAAGAGTAATTGCGAATTATGTTTTCCACCTCACTGCAATGGTTAGCATAGGTTTCACTAGGTGAATTTGGTGGAATATAAACCGCTCCTAATATCAATTTCACCTTACCAAATGTTAGTTGAACAAAAACATGTTCAACAGTGTTCATTATACATGAAATGAGCAATGAAGTCAACGTGCTTTTAACACAAATCATAACTCCGCCACCTCTAGTACACTCTGTTATTGATATTTGTAAAAGAATTACATTTACAAACAGGATGTTTTTTCAATGCAGAATAAAATGCTTCTATTAAAGACCTTGTCAGCAAAAGTAGCAGCCGTTATGGTTCGATAATCAAGTGAAATAAATAAAATTACCCTTGATAGCTACCCCATTTCTTTTGATAGAAGTGATAGCATATTCGAAAGCGCCACTACTCTCCTCCATAGGATCTATATCAATAACTTCAAAGTCCACTGGCGCACCAGCATACTTGAATACCTCTCGGACATATTCCATTAGTTCCGGGCCGATACCACCGCCTGGCAACATGGTAACTGCATTCCTGCCTCCATACATTGCAACAGGAATAGGCGCTTGCTTTTTAATAAGAGGGGTTTTGTGTTGCAATTCAAAAGCCGACATTGTGTGTTGAGCCTATGATAATTTTATGATATTATATCTACGGCACATGATCTATAAAGTTTCAAATTCAACTTACCCTGGCGAGTACACTGCCCCATTTTAGGCTATTTATTTGCACTGCCCTCAAAGCCATTTTAGGTCACTCTTATAATAAGTATGGATAGATATATGTTGTCGATTGTTAATTATTTATTTTTCACCAATTTAATGTTCTGCAATAAATTTATAGTGGTGACATAACAAAAAAAATTAGGTTAGGTTATAAAAAAGGTTCTCCTTCTCTATTTTCAAGCGTTCCTCTATTTTCAAATCGAAAATGCCTCAAGACCACTTGACTTGTCATTCGGCTAAATTAACTAGCCCTTTTCACGTGGCTACGGTTTAGCAAACCGCAACATAAGGCGATTTTCAGCCTGGAATGATTATTTATCGGTAAATACCGTGGTTATTCTTTTGGTTGACAACTTTGACAGCCAAGTGTGAAGTCACAGCCCCCCACCACTCAAGAATCTTAACCCAAGGAACTGACCGCTGAAATGATTTGGTTATAGCAGTGTAGGATTAGTTTATTATTCCTATTTGTTTTTTCGTTTCAACAATGGTTTGTTGTTTAGGTACAAAAAATGGAGCGGAATCTCTCGATAGTCTCGTTCATCGAACAGATTTTCTTTGGGGATGATCTAAACCTCGATCTAAGCATGGTGAGTTCCAGTGAGTGAGTGAGTGTATACTTCTCCCATTGTGCCAGGCCACAACACAACTGCAAAATCACAAAACACCAATACCAATTCCCAAAATAATAACAATCACATCAAAAAGCTGTAACCAAAAAATTAACCCAAGTCCAAAGCTGGGTTATAATCGGTTATAAGTGGTAAATACCAAAAGCAAATCAGCTGATATGTGACATCACAACTTCCCCTACTTTGGTTAAAACCGCGACGGCGGAAATGCATTGGTTATAACCAAATAATAATCATTCCAGGCTGAAAATCGCCTATACCGCTCAAATTCGAGTGCTATCGAAGATGTCACATTGTAACCGGGTTAGAAAACGGTATGTCATTTCTCTAACCGCCTCGGCGATATGGTTACGTGTTACGTCGAACGGTTAGAAGAAAAAAATATGAACAACGGAGAGCGGGAAAGTTCGGAAAAGTGTAAAAACTAAATAAAAAGTTGTGTTTTGTGTATATTATCATATTTTATGAATTTCAGGCCTGAAAGCCGTTTTCCCTTGTATATATACATTAGACATTGTTCAGTTTGCAGGTGGATTAGCATTATAATACCACCTAATCTACCTGCTAATGCACCGGGACTACGTAAATCACCCTGTATTATATACTCAAAAGATATACCAGAGACAATCCCAGTTTACCTACTTGCTTGATGGGCTGTTGTAGACTGTGACTGTAGGTAACAAACGAGAACTTATAAACTTTAAATATATGGTTCTACTCAGTGGCGGATCCAGGGGGGGGTACAGTGGCTAAATAAACCTTTACATACAGTGGCGACAATAGAGGTCCCGCCGCCATTTTGTTCCCAACCTCTCGTTACTTTTAAATATGAATTTATAGGCTTTAAATGAACATCTTTCATAAAAAATTGAAATCGACGTATTTGATGACTATTATTAGGTCCATCAAATGCGTTGTTTTCCATGTTTTATGATGGATGTTCACCTAAATTCCATAATCCCATATATTCATATTTGGGGGGGGGGGGGGGCGCGCGCGCCCCCCTTTGAAAGCCTCAAAAACTACTAATTTTTCTAAAAAAAATCATAGATAGAAAAATTTTATAAAAGAATTTTCCAAATAAATGTTATAGGGAAATTGTCCAAGCTACACTATTGTTTAATTTATCGTTTTGTTTTTATCAGATAAATGTCCTATATTTTTATTTGGAATAGGTATTTTTATTTGTTATTTTCGGTTTTTTGATATGTGCAGGGTTGTCCAATCTGGACACTTTTAATAGAAAACGTTAATTTTTGAGCGAGATACAAAAAAAACAACCCCCACTCTGAGCCTCAAATTTTATGATATTTTGAACCGTTTTGTGGCTAGAGAATCCAGTGACTTTTTCAGTTTTTTTCTATTCATTCCCGGATTCGAGATATTAACCAGAGTCCGATTATTTTGATGGGACACCGGACACCCTACATATTAATATTTGATTGGATAGCTCTGCTTTTGCGGCTTTCAATGATATAAAGTTCGATAGGTCTATCTTTTTTGTTCGAGCTTTCCCGAGGGGTTAATCACTCCCCGAAATCGTATCACAAATTCGTCCGAAATCCCCGAAATCTTTCCGAAATCCTATCGAAATCCCCGAAATCAACAAAATCACTCCGAAATCCGCCGAAATCTCTCCGAAATCTCTCAGAAATCATTCCGCATACCCAAAAATCCCTCGCAATTGGCCCAAAATTCATAAATCGGTCAAGTTGACCGGGTCAACGCGGCCGTTTTTCAGTTTATACTAATACACTTTCGAATATACTTATGAGATAAATAGTAACAGTCTAAAATCAAATTGAAATATTTGTGAAATCACCTGAGATTCTCCGAAATCACCCGAAATCCTTCGAAATCACCCGAAATCCTTCGAAATCACCCGAAATTTTTCGAAATCAACCGAAATCCCTCAAAATCGCTCTAAATGCGAAATCTTGTCACGGTCAATTATCCCTCGAAATCTTTCCGAAATCCTACCGAAATTCTTCGAAATCACCCGAAATCCATCAAAATCACTCAAAATCGCTCTCACATTTTTCCCTTAGTGAATAACCTCTCGAGTTTTCCAGAAAAAAAATATATCTGTTTTGTCATAAGAAACAGTGTGTTAAAAAAGAACTCTATATCCATAAGGAAAATGAGATAGGTCTCCTTCTAACACATTGTTTCTCTTGACTGAAACATCTATAATTTTTTTCCTAGAAAACTGTTAGAGATAGGCCTATTAAACCTTATATGTGTCATTAAAATAAGCAATAATAGAGCTATCAATGAGTTATTAATATATATAGGGTTTTTTATTAATACAGAAATCAATTATTTTCACAAATAAAAAAGTTAGGAAGGTTTCACCTTATCGCTCAAAATCGAGAAACACCCTCTAGCGGCAAAACGGTTGAGGGTATCAAAAGGCGGGTTGTAGTGTTTGCACCAGTCAAGATATCATTAAATTTGAGCGTCAGCAGACTGGAGAGTTCATTTTTATGTATCTGGCTCAAAAATTGAGGTTTCAGATCAAAAGTATCCAAATTGGACCACCCTGTATCTACATTCTTTAAGGGGATTGAATGCGCCGTTTAAAATATATTGTAACGCACGTCGAACTATACAACTACCCAATAAGTTAATACTAATAAAGACGCGAGGTTCATCGCGATCATTGCATTGGGCTACTGTTGAGCCGGTCGGCACTGGATCCTTCATCACGGCGATTTAAAATGTATAGAAAAACAAGCGGAGGAAAGAGCCACGGGGTTTGCTGCAGGCATAACAGAGATAGACAAAATGACAAGAAGAATCAATTAAATTTCTACAAAAAAACTAGATAATTTTTGGAATTCTGGTTTGCGCCATTGTATTGCTAACACACATAAGAATGGCGCTAACTAAAAAAAACACCATAAATTGATTAACTTTCTTGTTTTTTTTTTAGTTTAAATTACATTTTTGTAATTTTTCGAGAACTTGTTTCTATTATCGGATTTCTAAAAAGATAGCGCCATTCGTCCCTATATTAAAAATCGAATGCAAAAAAGAAAGTTGATATAACTTCAATTGTTAAAAAATTAGGTTGAAATTAAGAATGCAATGCATTCCTTGTTTCATTCATCTCATTCCCACTAAGGAGTATTAATCGGAGCGGAAGAATACAATGATAGACTGCGTTAGGTGCTTCGCGCAGGAAAAAATATTTTGGCATTGAGGCGCATCCAATACCCTTAACGTATAAGTAAAGTAGAAAAAAAATTCAAAAAATCATTGTTGATAATTCTTAGCCTGCGCCCCCCCTGAACAAAATCCTGGATCCGCCACTGGTTCTACTAGGTCTATCCACCCATGGTTCACATCTTAAGCATTGAACGAAAAGAAATTAAACTACCCAGATAACACAAAACTACATGAAAAGTACTTCAATTGTACTGTATTTTCAAATTTGCATGCCTGAGAAGTACTTGTGAAAACCACTCAACCGCTTCTGGGATGTCCAGCCGGTCAGTAAAAAAAAGGCGCAATCGTAGAAGCACTGCAATTGCGCACTTCCAACATGGAGTGCTCTAAGTGCTCCAAGCGTACGTTGGAAGTATTCGTGAAATGCTACATAAAAGCACTTCTCCGACAGAGAAAAAGCACCACTATAGAACATCTTTTTTTGGTAAATTTATATTGTACTCTTAAAGTAATTCATTGAAGTATTTTTTGAGTACATTTTTTATTTCACTGATAGCCCATTGCAAATAAAAAACACACATTTTGAAATTATGATCTTTTAATAAATAAACATAGGAAACATAAATAAAAAATAAAATAAAACATATTCATTTCTTCTAAATAATTCTTCTTCGCTTTTCCTGGTACCTACCTGAAAAAGAAATCATACTTAAATTAAAATCCTATACGAGACACATAGGGCACCAAATAAAATGAGTTTAATGGGGTTTTTGGAAACTATTAAAGTACAGGGGGTACGTGGCTCAAAGGAGAAAATAAGATGCGCAATTAAAGACTTATTAATTCATACATATCGGAGTCGTTTTGGGGATGGAAAATTTGAAATGACAGATTTCAAATTTGGCAGCTTCGTCGGGTACCTAAAGGGAGAAAGGTTCATCTAATAAAGTGAACTTATTTTGCAATAATATCTTGTCGAATAGGCCCTAAAAAAATTGAAACGATTTTGCAGAATTTCGTTAAATAAACAGTGAAAACACAAACACACCCACCACGCATGCATTACCACCTACAAGCACCACATACAGCGCAGAAGGAAATAGTTTGGATTAACCCATAACTAATATTTGATAATTATCACTCACTTACCCTTTGGAACTCATTATTCTTCCAGTGAAACCGAAAACACGCACAGAACCCAAACACGTACGAAACTAAATGCCCAAAAATGCAAACATTAAAAATGGCGCAATGGCGGCAGCTTCGGCTCAGGCTTCCTTGCTTCTGCTTGCCTTCTTGTCGCTTTTTTATCCCTTTCCTTCCCACATTTGATATATGTGGTGGGGGTTGCACCTCTGTGGTGCACCACCTGCACGATCGGAGTATCTCTAAACCTATAATCAATCACTGCCGACTGCAGGCTCTCAGGCAGCGCAGGTAGAGCACTCAGAGCAGACTCTACTCTTTCGTTACCTTGGTAAGTGTTCAGGAAGTGCTGTTAGCGTACCGCTAATTCGCACACTAAAATTATGCGGTTTTGCAGTGGTTTTCCTGCACATTACAGATCATTCAATTTAAAAGTTGAAATAGGAGCATTTCTTCGATGCTGCTAGCTTACTTTGACTTGGTTTGTTTTATTATACGCACTTTTAGCATATTTCCAAAGCATTACCATTGAAATACTATTTTCTTTAAAGTCGGCCGGAACTTTTCGAGCACATTGACGCACATTGTGTTATCTGGGTACCCACTTTTCACTTTTTAGCTCGCTGTAATAAAAAGGAATGAAATACTGGATAATTCCACAATTTTGAAAAAAAAAACTTGCTTCCCATATTTCTACACATACCTATTAATTAACTGTGAATTGCTCACATTTAAGATATGTTTGTCCGTAGTAGACATAATCATAATAGGTAGGTCAGATTTAACGGCACTGGCGAAAATATTGAAAAATCAAAAATAAAATAATATTTTTCTAACCGTTCGTTTTCAAGTGGCAATTTCAGTGATGTCATCACTTGACATACCGCCTCTAACCGTTTTGTAACCCGGTTAGTTTAAACCGGAGCGACGTGAAAAGGTGTCATGGTTTTCTGTGAATTTTTATTAAGCCGCGTCCAGATTAGTAAATAAATGCGTTGCGTTGAATTCGGGATTCGCCACATATTTTTGCGGCGCGTGCGCAAATTTGGTTTCCTGACCAAAATAAATATTTGTGTTGTGCGCCGTGCGTTCTTGCTCAACGCGTGTGTGCCTATTTTATTTCAGAGTGCGCGTTGCTTGTTTTTAGTTGTATTCCTTTCAAGAGTTTGAAACACTCGAGCTACTCGCTCCGGTGTTTAGTAGCCCCCGATTTGCAGGGAACAGATGCGTGGTGCAACAAACACTTTTCGAAAGGAATAAGGGCGGGTATTATAAAACTACTCTGGAATTACATGTAATTCAAAAAGTTAACTTCAAGTTAACTGTCAAAGCAGTTTACTAATACCTGTCCTAAGTGCGTGAAGCCCCGGAGCTGTTCCGGAGCTCCTCCTAGGTGTGAAAGGATTACAAGGATTACCCATAAAATTCAAAAATACCACAATCTATCGAAAATATTCGAAAATCTTCACTGGAGAAATAATATTGAAACTCGAAAACGCAAAATTTTGAACAATTCAACAAACCCAAATAAACAACGATCATGGCGTCCTCTTTTAGACCCTCAAATACACTCCACCTGTTATTTTATGTTTGGGTTACTACGTCATGAATCGTAGAGTGTTCAATAGGGATGTCAATTTTTTTCAAAACACCGGTTTTTTCATTAACCGGTTAATTTACTAACAGTTATAACTGCCCGGTTATAACTGATATAAAACACCGGTTATTCCGGTTAACTGGTTGCTCGGTTATTTTGCCGAATAATATTAGAATAATTGCATAATTTATATTATAATGTAGGTAACATAACTTAAACAACAACATATCTTAATGGTAAAAAAAATCGGAAACTGTTACATTTTAAAAAGCATCAAAGAATACTTAAACTTTTCTAAACTGGTTATTTCTCTTCTTTCATTTTTAACATGTACAGTTGCGGCCATTGGAATTGGCACAAGTTTTCGAACGCACCTTGTAATGCATCAAAATTTGACTTTTTTTAACAGGCCGTTAATGCCAAAATTGTATCAGTTTTAGAGCGGGTATTATAAAACTACTTTGAGAGTTAACTTAAAGTTAACTTCTGGAATTACATGTAATTCAAAAAGTTAACTTTAAGTTAACTGTCAGAGCAGTTTTATAATACCCACCGTCTTATATTTGGCGTTCAAAAATTAGTGCCAGTTCCAATGGCCGCAACTTTGTCAAATACACTCCAGCAATCGTAGTATGTGTAGTATGATGTTCACTGGTCGCTAAAATACGCCTTATGTCTTTTTTTATACCTACAGGTATATGTCTTTTTTCAATACCGTTCATTAGAGAAAGATGGAAATCAACCAGCTGCTGAACGGATTAACCGAAACTGAAATACTAGAGATGGGCATGGGCACTATCGGTTAAAAAGACTGTTGTCGCTTATTCAATATATTTTAAAGTTATGGAAACAAGAGAAAAGTCTACGTGTTCATTTTTTCACTTTCACCGGTTATTAGGTATAAAACCCGGTTATTCAGTTATAACTGGAGGCAAAAAACAACTGGTATTAACCGGTTAACCGAAGAGAAAACACCGGTTTTTCGGTTTTAACTACCGGTTATTGACATCCCTAGTGTTCAATGGCCCTGAACGCTCCCACTCTTGCCTGAAATCAGCTGACGATAATTAATGTTTGAGGTTTGAGTTAAAACCACTGATGTTAAAACACGTTAAAACATTCAAACTACAACAAATAAATGTTTCTATTTTTTGTGGAGTACATATTGATGATTTAATGGTTTGATAGTTATCAAATGTTATCCCTGCTAAAAAATTCAACATGATGGATTCGAATGCAAAAGCAAGTCTTCCAACTATAGGGCCAGAGAACTCGAACCACCAAGCATCCAGCCAATCTTGTACCTTAGGAATGAGAAAATCCAAATCCTCCCTTGAGGAAAACGATGATGATGAAGATGTAAAAAAGTTGAAAAGTTTTATTAGCAAGAATTTTGCTGGATGTGATCTGACATTGTGTATTTTCATGGCAGCAGCTAAGACCTTCAAAATAGATCAGTGTCTGCGTCCTTTTCCTCAGTGTTTTGTCGATGACAACAATGAGAAAGATTTTGTTAGACTTGTAAGTATGTTGTTTTACACTTAATACTACAAACGTAGGCATTTTTATGTAATTTTCTTTTTTCTATGCCTTATGTAAACACATATACATTCAGAAAGTTGGTATCAACCTATTATACGGTGTAGGCATTTTTACTAGGGCTCGGAATTTTTGAAATTCAAGTATTCGAATAGTCGTTTGGTATTTTATTCGAATAGTTGAATAATTCGAATAGTTGAATATTCGAATAGTCGAATAGTTGAATATTCGAATAGTCGGATAGTCGAATATTCGAATAGTCGAATATTCGAATAGTCAAATAATCAAATAGTCGAATATTCGAATAGTCGAATATTCGAATAGTCGAATATTCGAATAGTCAAATAGTCGAATATTCGAATAGTCGAATATTCGAATAGTCGAATATTCGAATAGTCGAATATTCGAATAGTCGAATATTCGAATAGTCGAATATTTAAATAGTCGAATATTCGAATAGTCGAATATTTGAATATGTAGTCAAAAAGTCGAATATTCGATTAGTCTAATATTCCAATAGTCAAATATTGATAGAGGACCTAATTAAGAGAACAAAATGGGACTTTAAAAATGACGTTTTTCGACTAACAATCATTCTTGATAAAAGTTTCTACTTCCCGCAAAAGAACGTTCTACGACGAAGCGAATTTTTGATTTTTTATGCAGAGTAGTAGTCAGAAAAACTAAAATAATTTAGATGTTTTCTAAATGGCAAATTTACAGAGGGTTAAATTAACAATACGAACAAAAATGCATTGTATTAATTGAAAGCTGAATTTCACCGAAAACACGTCGTATATTGTATCATTCAATTCAAATATTGAAACAATTGAAATTTTAAATTGTTCAAATCAAAAAGTGAGTAATTGCATTGTTAAATAGTCCAATATTCGAATAGTCGTATATTCGAATAATCGAATATTCGAATAGTCGAATATTCGAATAGTCGAATAGTCGAATATTCGAATAGTCGAATTTGCTAACGAACAAAAAAGTCGAATTTAGAATAGTCGAATAGTCGAATATTCGAATTATTCGAATACAATTCCGAGCCCTGATTTTTACTAATAATTGGTGTGTGCTAATAATTATCCGAGTAAATACCTATGATTTGTTCAGTTATTTGTGTAAACATTTATTCTTGACATAAGTATTAAGCACCTATCTAGTCCAAGATTTAAGTTTTCAGAAGGTGTTAGGCTGGCCGTCCATTGGATGCATAGTCGTACGACTTTGCGGTCGTGCGTAGTCGTCCGTATAAGTCTGACTAATCCCCTTACATAAAAATGAATAGAATGCTCATCCACTCCACACGAATTCATGCGACCAACGACTGTTCCGATTTGAATGGGATTTGTCGGATGTTTTCAAACGACTTTCGGTCAGTATTCGCAATTTAGCCAGGGTAGGTTTTTATTTCTTTACATATTGTGGATAATTATAGATTGTGAGAAGGTAATTTTCGAGGTGAGAGAAAGAAAAGCATTATGGAATATGAGAGACAGCAGATATCATGCTAAAGACGTCCAACGCAGATTGTGGAAGGAGGTTGCGCAAAAAATGGATAGTGTCAAAGTACATTTTAATCACTCTTATCTTTTTTTTTTTTTTTTTTATAACAAGTCTTTATTAAACCAACAAACTGTGATAGTTTACAGAGGTTTCTCCTGTTAAGTGGTAGGTTGTTATAAATTTTTATGCCTTTAAAGAAAATAGAATTGACGCCAAAGTTGTTTTTGGGACTCCAGATTATTGCAATGTCTGGTGTTGTGGGCATGCACATCAATTCGTTTGTTGAATTTTGTTGAGGAATGTTTATCAGAGTTAACAATTTGGTGAATAAACGTGCATATCTGAGTCTTATAAATATCTTCTAAAGATTTTATTTTATAATTTTTATAAAACACTACGAACACAAAGGCCACACTTGAACATACGCTACAAAATAAAGAAATGAACTATTTATTTATCAACCAGAAATCGTTTCTAATGGACGAGGCACAGTCGTTCACATTTCACATTCGTACGATCAAAGTCGTCTGATTATTCACGACCGCAAAGTCGTACGACTACGCATTCAATGGACGGCCAGCCTAAGTGATTCCAGGAGCCGATTGCACCAAACTACTTTGCAACTTTTCACTTTACTACACTTTGCACTGTGCATATCGTTTCCTGTTGCACCAATGCCATTTGCAAAGTTCATTATGCAAAGTGAAAAGTAGAAAAGTGGCGAAGCGATGAACTTTTGAAAAAATATTTTATATGTATTGCACCGATAATTTTTTGTCAAAAATTTTTGAAAGGACAAATTTGTCATAAAGATGATCAGAAGAATAATTTTTTCAAGTGACAAAAGAAGCGACGAAAAAATACCACAGAGAAGAAAAGTTTATAAAGTAAGAGTAAATTTTAATTAAGGGGAATGGTTTTTCTTTCAAAGAAGCGTTTCGCTTTACCAAATTAGAAACTTTTATAGAGAATAACTTTTTTTCGTAAAATTGATAATAAAAAAGTTTCCCATATGCTGCGAACTTAAGTGGACATACTGTATACCATTCTTTAGTTTCAGCTCTTTTACTTACATTAGAGCACAATAATTCAAACATAAAAACAAAAAGATTCCTTCACTGTTACACTGACAAATTTCTTGTGTTCATAAATTAGTTTGCAAAGTGCAAAGTGGAAATTACAAAGTCACATAATTTTTTAGGTGCAACGCATTTCTTTCTCACTTTTCAAATAGGGTAAAGTGAAAAGTTGCAAAGTGGTTTGGTGCAATAGGCCCCTGATTCCATTTAGCACCAGATTTGCTTCAAAACGCAAAAAAAAAACCAACACATTTGGCATAAACGGCTATTTGGAGTGACTAGGATTACAGGTTTAAAAATTGAGAGTTGATAAATATTATCACAGAGAATGTGAAACATTTTAAGACTCGAATTTTTTTACTGAAAACGAGAAAAGATCAAAATTGTTTTCCAGATCCATATGAAATAATTTTTTTTTTCTAGAAAAAAACATGTGATAAAATTCCACCTTTAAAGGATTTCCTAACGCTTCCTTCAAAGAATATTTCCAAAGATATTAGAAACCTGCTTAGTTATTTATTTATGGAATCGGGGATTCCCGTATTTAGTGATTGCTCTGTGGTAAGAAATAGTCAATATTTAAAAAAAAAACTATGGATAATTGGGTAAAAACCTTTTGTTTTTAGGAAAACTTACCATTATCAGTGGTAAACAAACAGGCCAGTATCAGTGCCCTACCCCAATACGTATTTGAAGTAAATTACAATTCAAAATTCGAAGAAGCCTTCAAAAAGAGAAAAGGATCCCGTGAAATTATTTATGCATTCCATGGCAGTTCTGTTCATAATTTCTATTCAATTCTAAAATTTGGTTTGCAACAGCACTTCAGACAAAGCAAGGAGGTACTATTTGGCAATGGAATTTATCTTTCAAATGAAATATCTGTCTGCACAAATTATTCTCCATTTGGAGAAACTTGGGAAAATAGCAGTCTAGGACAGAAACATAGCATCATAGCACTTTGTGAAATTATAAACAATGAGGAAGAAGTAAAATGCAAAGGTAAGATTTTAAAACTTTTTATAATTCCTTATGTTAATCAACTTTAATTCTAGATGAAAAAAATAAAAAACGAGCATTAAACCAAGACAGTTACGGTGCAATTCCTGACAAGTATTTTGTTGTAACTAATAGCGAATTAGTTAAAATTAAATATTTATTAGCATATAGATATAGAGCATCAACTGTTGTGGCATCTTTTACAAAGAAAAACTGCCTTTGGATTGTAATTGTTTTATATTTGGCTATATTAGTTTTGATAAGACTTGTAAATGGACCTTCATGGCCTAAATTCATAAGGTACTTATGTTCTTTCATAGAATAAACAGTTTATATTTCAAACTCCTGATGATGAGATTAAATACTTAATTATTTTAGGTTTCCTGTTCTCAAAAGGCGATTTTAGTTGACGAGATCATATATTAAAGCTGCTGAACAAAAATTGAATAAAAATGATGCTGAGGTTGATTCAGTACAAACTAAAATCGCCTTGTGAGATCAGGTCTTTAGCTGCATTGAAGAAGTTTGAGAGAATTTTTTCATAGGAGCATATGTGTAAAGTATTTATGAAATACAAATGTTTGTTATATAGATTTTTTGTTTTATGTTTGATATTTAGGGTGACAATCACATATATTGAAAGAGTTGAAGCCCTTTTTATGAACAAAAAAATCCTTCCTTTTTTGGCAGCACAAAACGTGTTAGTTTTATATTTATGTTTCATAGGAACGCTATGATGCAACTATAATGCATCATCTAAGTGTTATTCAAAAATAGCATTTTGAAACCACCAATATTTCCTAATGAAATTTAAATTTGATTTCCTTATGGAGATGAGGGAAAGTTTTGGGTTGGATAAATGTTTGTTAATTTTGATGGATCTGGCAAACTGGTCCTGAATGGACTAGTTTTGTCACCCGAGATTCCTGAAAACATTGAAATTTGTTTTGGGGGTTGTGTTTGAATTATACACAAAATACAATTTGAAAGATCTTTTAAAAAAATTGCAAATAATTTTAAACATTATTTACAACAATTTAAACCGAATAACTTCGAACCAATATAATCTTGTATTCAAGCAGTTCCTGACACGTGCTCCCTGACTAAATGCAGGCCACTGATAATATAAACATACTTTTTTTGTACGAATCTCAAATATCTCTGGCGGATACTATACCAGGTATAGAAGCCTATTTAGTGCGCTAGGGAATCCTAAAAATACTTTTACTGATCTGAGAAAGAGCATTTGGTCCTAGTAAAGGACAGTAGAAGCCAGAAATCTACAGCGAATCTTGAATTGTGTAGGTATCGGAAGAGACGTAACTGAATAGGTATACTAATTGTTACGAAAGTAGGTCTTAAAATTCAAATGAAGATTTTCGTTCCAATACAAGCTTTAGTAGATCTACTAACAGTGGCTGAATATATTCTTAATGACGAATCGTATTTTCAGAATACCCTTCACGAGGACAACTGTCTTATTTAAGTAGTTAACATCTTTCCGAATCGAAATGAAGCTCTGTTTTTGATAAATAAATATTGTTTTTTCTATGTTGTGTATTTCCTAACATGTAACATTAAGACAACAAAATATTGAGAGAAAACTGATACAACATAAAATATAGCCAGAATTCCAGTCCATACACGAATAAATGCCTATTTGATTAACCATATTCATCATTGTTTCCCATGCTACTTTTTGAATGACATCATACCATCGCAGTATTGGATGTCCTAGATTCCTCTTTTTAACCTGAGATCCTACAAATATCTCAAAATAAGGAGACTTGGACAAATATGTTTTCCTCCCTGAAAAACGGTAAACCAGGATTATAAATAAAAATAAAAATTTCTTTTGATAATAGTTATATTTAAATAAAAATATTAAATAGAGGAACACGGCGTAAATAAAACATATTCTAAACCTAAAAAAAATGGGCATGATAAAATATAATATGAGAAAGAAATAAACAGAATTTAAAGTTTGTCAGAATTTGTCGGTTGTCGCAATGCATATCCAGAACTCTGAAAATATGTGAATTTTGTACGACTAAGATCACACAAAAAAATAAAACTTTTTATATTGCTTGTTTGTAAGTATACCAAGTGAACCCAATTCAAGAAAAATACATTATAACGACATAAATGAAAACCCTAATTTTAATAATAGAAATATTTTGAAACATAAAAATCAAGTGAACCACCATTCTGAATACTAAACAACTCAAAATTTGTATAATAGTGTGAAAAATCAAATTATGTAAAATTATTCCAAAAATAAAAAGTTATTACTATTTATATATTTATTTTAAAAAGACTGATTGTGGAATATTTAGGCAAGGTTTTCCATTAGAAATAGTTATTTATCACAGTCAGTTTATCTCATGAGGAACCACTACACGAAATTCTGCAAATATTGCACTAAACGCAAAAACTATAAATTTAATACGTTCCTTGTTGCAAAATACATACGTATATTATTTTTAAGTGTTGCCAATATAAATATATTTTGCACTTCATAATGGATCTTTCTAAAAATAGTTTTTTTCTTAAATTGATAGAATAATGTTAAAACGCACTTGCCTAAATATAACACTTACAAAGGGCATGAATGAGTACAGACGGTACATCAGAAATTTGGGTGCCGCAAAAAATAAGTAAAACCCAGCGAAATAATAGTTAAAATTTATTAAAAACTCCTAAATATTTCAACAGATAAGACCAAATCGATCAAGGATTTGATTATATTACAAAATTATCACTGGTTCATATAAAAAAAGTAATTTAAGTAACAGCTATAGATACATTTCCGCCTCTCCGTAATTTCTAGTTGATTCACAACTTGTTTTATTTTTTTTTTACAAAAAGTCCTTCAGCAAAATGTTCTTATTCAGTTTTTTGCTTGTCAAATTTCAAACAGATCAATGAAAACTAAAAAGCCTTGCCGGTGACGGAAAATGAATCTAGCTGGACAGAGCCTGAGATAAGCAACTTCAGAAAATAAGTTTTAGAGAGAAAAATCATTATGTGCTACAGCTATACCACTACAATGTGATAAATACACTTTAAAAGCACCTTATATATTGTGGCAAGTCCAACATTAGCATTATTTTGATCGGTAGTGTAAATTTTACATTTTGAAAAAAGAAAAATTCAAGAAATGTATTTATTACCACAAACTCACAAATAATTTTTGAGAATAGCTTTAGAATTTGCCAATTACTTGGAAGACAAATTTTCTTGTATATAAAAATAGATTCTACTTCGGGTCACACAAAGTGTACCAGAACCTAACATCAATGTGTAAAATTTAAACTACCACCCAAATATTACCTCCACTCCATTAGTCAGTCATCATGCAAAAGGCACAAAACTGAAGTGAATCTGGTTCAATAGGAATAACACTTAACCATCACTTAATTATCAATTTGCTAAAATATAATTCTAGAACAATATATACATTCAAAATTTAAAAAAGGAAGATTTTTCTATGATATAAATATGTAAAACTGTATGTACAAAAATAATGAACATTTCTTGTTGTCAAAGTGTGTACAAAAGTATTTTGGTAATGTTCTTGCATGCATTGCTTGAACAAAGGCACGTTGCATTTAAGGATACACGATACACAAAACTGTAGATTTGAAATAATAAATAACAAATTAGGGAAGAATTAAAACTTGAAAATACTCAAGTGTAACAGTGAGTTTTAATAATAGCAGTCGGCTAAGTTGATCTTTTAAAAATGGAGTATTATTGCGTTGTTATATTAGCCTTAATGCTCCAAATTTAAGAACATAAACTATTGCTTAAATTATTTGATATGCGCTCGGTTCAAAAACATCGCTGTTGAATACATGACATTTCGATTATTTTGATAATAAATTTACACCTAAACCTAATTACGTACGTCCAATGATATGTATACCTAGTCCCAAAGTGAGATTTTTCTAAATCGACCCTTTGACAACACATGATAATCTGGGTAGAGCTACAGTCTAATCTAACATCTAACCAGATCTTTGACGTACTAATACATAAAACAAGGCTCAGATAATAATTTAACATTATTTAAATAAAAAATGCAGAGAAAATTTGTTTAATGATAAGAAAAAAACTTATACCTTGATCACCTAGTCTTCCTTAATCGATTTTGTCGACTCAAATTTAATATGAGGCACATACCCTTTGTTAGAGCTCTTTGGAGCTCCCAAATCTATTTTCTGTGGTTTTGTGTCTCCCACTACTACATAACCTTTCGATAAGGTCTCCACCGGTGGTGCTTGTGCCCAAAACTGTGACTTTGGTGTGGATTCGAGGGAAGCTGCTTTCACATAACCAGGAGAAGGTTCGTCTAATTGTTTCGTTAACGGCGGTACCCTGGTAGCTAACTTAGTTGCTACTTTAGCCGATGGTTCTCCAGCAATCACATAAGCAGTATTCTTGGAGGCTGGTTCTTGAGTAAGGTACTGTACATAACCGGAAGTAGGAATTTTAGTAGTTGGTTCTTTTGTTGGTTCTGGTTGTTGAACTGTAGGGAATGGCACGTAGGATGTTTTAGACGAAATATCAGACAGGGGCATGTACTCGGAATCAAGATCTGATTTTTTAGGAGGTGCATTCATGCCGATGACACTATAGCCGCTTTGAGTTGGTTTTGTAGACCATGGTGCTGCTGGTATTTCTGCCATTGATACATAATCTAGAAAAAATATATGAATCATTAAAACAATTAAAACCTCTGCACACCACTGGAATGTCCAACAACTATTTTTTTTTTCTATAATATTATAAGTGCGTTTGTCAAATTGGTGCCACAAAATTCATAGGAATATACCAACTTGAAAAATATTCATAAGCTTCTTCAATAAATTTGTTGATTGGGCACATTTTTTTTTTTAAATTTAGGTTGTGTTAGTTAGTTATAAAATCAAGAGTACCCCAGAATGTAAATTTATTCTCAGTAGAAACTGTGAAGTTTGCTTAAAACCTAGTAGCGTTGATTTTCAAAATTCCAAGCGTGAAATATAAAAACATATCCTGGATTTTAAGCCTCAGAAGTTGTTATGAACCAAAAAGCAAATAAATAGAGATGCACTCTGGTGACATATTTTGTCATTCTTGTTTAAGCTCCAACACACTGCTAATTACTAATACTATGAGTTGTATTGCACTGACACAGTCAGATTTACGCAATACTTGGTGGTTTTGCTTTGTAAGACAATGGAGAAACCTGAATACTCTTTCATTGGGTACTATCGCTAATTGCAGACCGGTTTCGGACTTGTTATGTCCTCGTCAGTGCAATATAAGCGGAAAGCACACCAACTCAGAGAAACAGTTTTGCAGGAGATTCAAACGCTAGGCAAAATGTCGATCTTTAATAGCGTGTGGCTCCCTCTCGTAGAAGTCAAACAAAACAATACCGAGAACAGCCCGTTTGGGTGTAAATAAAATCAGATTTTCGAAAATCTGATTTTATTCTTGTTTAAGTTTTGTCCTCAAGTTATTTTCAAAGCTTAAAATTACCAAGTTATCATCGTTTCCAATTCAAAATCAATTTTTACCTGTCTTTTTAACGTTTGGCCTTTGCCTTAGAGCCACATCTTTATGCTCAGTTTCGCCCATCGCAGATCTGGGTTGTTCAGTACCAGAATCTGAACCGCCGGTTAGCCCTGATGCAGAAGAAACGCTTTCAGTTCCAGAGCAGCAGCCACTAGTTTCCCCACTCGTATTTCTCGGTTGAGTTGAAAATTTGTCTGATAATAAGGGTTCACCAGGCAAAGTTTCATCCACATGTTTTTCTTTGGGCTCAAAATTCACAACAGCATCCAAAGCTTGGGGAAGTTTTACTGGGCAATTGCGCATATCAAGGATTTTACGCCATATCCTATTTTTCCAAAAAATAACAAAGTTATTCTAAAATATTGTCAATTTATTCAAACAGTACCTTTTGGCTAAATAGCACATCAAAACTATAAATAGTATAACTGACATAACAACAAGTGGAATAATCCAAGATGAAGATGATGGATTGCGGAAGCATGGGAATTCAGCTCTATCGCTCCAATTACCTAGCAAAAGTCTACCATCTTTCACGTTCACAGCTCTTATTTTAACATAAACAGTTTGGGATTTGTCGTGTTGGCAAATGCTGATTTCATAGGACTGACCTAAAAAAAATTTAATGAGTTTTATTTTATAGACAAATAAAGAAAACTTGCTTGTAGTATTGTGAGGTGGATATTCTTTGCCCTTTGCTGTACCAACTTGTACCTCATAGTAATCTACTTTTACTCCAGGTTCGTCAGGCTTTTCCCATTTTATAATTAGGGAGTAATTATCCCAATTAGCGCTGGGTTTGGGTATGGTACCAGGATCTGAAAAATTATAAAGATTAGATATTAAAAAACCGACGTACCTATCTCAATCCTTACATCCAATATCTGTAGAGAATTGTTTTGAGGTTTTCGAGCAGCTTCCAGTACAAGCCTTCACATAAATTGTATAATTGGTCCTTGGTTGTAGGCCAGTAATATTTTTTTCGTAAATCATCTTTTCCTTTTCAGCAGGTACTCTCTCTTCTCGGCCATTAACCAAAACAACATATTCTGATAAGTGACCATTTTCTTCCAATGATTTTTCCCATGATATTTTTATGGTTCTGTCTGTGCGTTGGATAATCTGGAGGTTTCGTGGTTCAGTAGGAGTGTCTTCCAAGGTTGAGTTGAACATAGGGTCACTGAATTGACTTTCAGCGCCTACGATAATTGGTTTCACTTGGAATTTGTACCTAAAATAGGTGAAATTTTTACCTGTGACTTATACAACAAGGGGTGTTTTTTCTTTATTAAAATAAAATATTTTATAATTTTTAGACAACTAATACAATATAATAATAAAAAATCTGTTCTGGGAAGCACAAAACTATCAGCATGCATTCTACTAACCCAGTATAAGGCTTCAATCCAGTGATATTCAGCTCTCCTTCTCCAATATTGAAAGTGTTATTATCAAATAATTTGTACTTCAAAGACTTCGGTTGACATTCCTGTGACTGAGGCGTGGCAATTGTACAATAACTCACGTTGAAACTTTGGATATCTCCCAATTTTATACACTCCAATTTCCATTGCAACACAATATATCTTGGACTGACTTTCTTTACGTAAGTTTGTCTCAATTTCACCCCAGTTCCTGGTATAACAGTGCAGTCAGCCCAAAGTAAACCACTACTTGTTCCAATACCATTAGCTGATATAGCGAATTGGTAAATATTGAAATTTTCTGCTTCTAAATTGTATGGGGCTAGTTTGAGTGTTTTATTTTTGACGCCACGAGGAACTGTCTCCCATTGTAGAGTACCCTGTAATAATTGACAATTTAGAAATAAAAACGTTCAATTACTAAACCGTTTGTCGGCTTACGTCACAAGCATAAGGCCTTTCTCTTTGAGCAGAACACCAAAACAGAGTATAATTTTTAGCTCTCGTATTACTGCTTTCAGTCCATTCAAGATCCCAGATTCCAGCACCTTTATCCACTTTTACTAATTTTGATAACTGTTTCAAAGCATTTTTCTGGGAAGGAAAAAACACTACTGAAGATTCTCTAGAGCTGCCAACGCTATTTCTAGACCAAATCCTGAACGTATAATTCCTGTCAGGAAGATTCTCAAATTTAGCATAATTTTTGTGGACTTTGACTGGTTGGATATTCGGATCTTCATCTACTTGAATGTAATAAGAAAAGTTTTCTCCATTTTCCTGATAATTATGGATATTTTGCCAATAAATCAATCTATTGCCAGTACCCTCCAATAACTCAAAACTACCAGCTGTAGTATTAGGAGGACAATCCGGTATTTTAGAAGACGTCCAGACAGTTATAGAAGCATTTTGTGACCACATGCGTTCTTCTATGGCAGGTCTAGACTTGATAGCAACTCTTATGTCATATAAGCAATGGGCATACGGAAGATTAGTAAGCTCAAACTGTATCCGTTGTTTTGATTTATCTTCTGGTATATAAACACTAGTCCATTTTTTGTTTTGAGCAATCCACCAGCTTACTCTATATTCTAAACCTGCTGGGTAACTTTGCATATTCAGTGGTACAGTCCATTCTAATTTGATGGAATGTGGAGAAGTTGGTATTGCTACAAGGTCTTCAGGTGGACCAGGGCGAACTGGAAAATGATTTAAAATTGTTGATTGACTACTTACTTTCCTGCAAATTTAGAAGCTTACCTCGAGCATAATGCTTGATTGTGTATCTCCAGACTTGATAGCCAAAAGGGTTGTTAGCGGATAATTGAAAAATAAAAGTGTCATGAGAATGCCGATATTGTGGCCTTGTTGACAATTCCCAGGTGCAGGACAATTGGGTTACCCCATTTACTTGTTTCACTGTCAAATTGGTTGGGCATCCACTAAAATTTCCAATGTATTCAATTAATAATTGATGATAGATTTTTTTGTCTTGGTTTATATCAAACATGAAGCTATGGAATTTTGACAATTACACATGCGACTGTCAAAAATCTAGCTATAATAACACGTTGACATTTGTCAACAGTTCCTTAGAGACTATTTTGCGGCATGCGGGTAAAAAAATCATTTTGTTTCTCACAAAATTCAATAAAAACCACTTTGAAAATTGAAAATAGACTTCAAAGTCAATTACAAGCAAACAAATGTCAGCTAGGATAATATTAATGCAAAAATGCTGTTTTGCTTAGAAATATTGAAAAAGTTATTACCAACAAAAAAATCTGAACTGATATAATTTCAATATTTATTTTATTTTTGAATAAAAACGGTAAAATGAAATATTAAATTTTATAAGACCTCAAATATCACAATATCACAGATAGTATTATAGGAAGGAAGTAAGTTTACTCATGCTATAAGGCAAGCAAAGCAAATACTAGCCAATATATATTATTAATTTGTATCAATGGAAAATTCATGCATGAAGAAACTGTTAGATCAAATTGTTATAATAGAGCAGCAAAACAGGGCATATTTTCTGTATTTCAAATGTGGTGTTCAAATCTCATAATTACCTTTTGAAAAAATAATCGCGTTTGATATATTATAAACGATTGAAGCACATTGAAGGTACAGAAAAACAGAAATATTGTGATATTTTGTCAAAAAAAAGATAAATAAATATGGAAAAATATATCAGCAGTGCAGAGAAGCAAAATATTGGGAAATTAAAATATCGCCTCGGACACAATCAAAATGATTTTTTTATGGAAGAAAGTTAATTTACTTGGCTCTAGTTTCGGCTGGCGTGCTTGGTTTAGAGGCGTACTTTGCCTTAATGTACCTTAGGGGACGCGAAACAGGTTTATATTCCAAAGAGTAATTTGTTGATACATAATTTTCTGGTGGTGTCCAACTGCAAGTGAAATTTTCATAGTTGTAACCTATGCAGTCGAAATCAGTTACATCCTGAGGTTTGGCTGTGAACAAACAAATGTTTAATTTTTCACAAACAAAAATACTATTTTTCTATTACTTACTTCCGACAACGACATAGTTATGACATACGAAATCATCATGCACTGAATCATTCACCAAACAATAATAAGCTGATTGTTGAGTCTTAGGGTGGTTTTTGATCAGAAGTCTGATAACTGTCGAGTTGACGATTTCGGACTAAAATTATTTGAATATTTAATTTGGGACATAATTAGAGACAACACTATACTTACAGGAAACTTCCTATTTCCTAAGACAAATGACATGTATTGGCTTGCATTAGCTCCATATTTGTCTATTTCTGCTTCATTTAAAAAACAATATATATCCAAATCTTCACCGTATTCTAATGTGATGTCTCCAACTGGATATGTATCTAAAATACATATAGGTATGTAGGTGTAATTTTAAAAAAATAATAAAACCGATCGACCATGACGACAAACCGTAAACATTGGTTATTTACCTCTAAATAGGTTCTGACAACTGGGGTAATATCACCTAAGTTGTTGCTATATTAAACTTTTAGAGTCTTAGCAATGCCAGTACTTTTGTGAAATATGACAACATTGCTATTCGATTAAAATCCAAGGAATTCATTCATACTAATACACTGTGCGTAAAAGAACAGGATACTGATAACATTTTAGCATTGATAAAAGACCCTCCTCTTGGGAAATTGATTATTCCAGCAAAATATCTTGATAAACAGAGAATAATGTCACCACTGCATTTTTTGCCACTGAAGTAAACACCATCTCACGCTATCTTTGACGACTTGAACAGATATGATAACGAAGCAGGGGATCTGGCGCCAATATGAAAAATGACCCGGCGAAAACCAAATCACTGTAGAAATTATGAAACTTGGTGGGAATACTATTAAGAATAAGAAGGTGGAATACTAAAACAAAGGGTACCAATGCAAGAGGTAATATTTTTGTTCAAAAAAGATCAATATGGGAAACTATCACCTCAAGAGTTAAAGCTAAATCAACAATCTGTATCCATTATTGACAAACTGCCTGATGAACGAATTTGACTTTTATCAATCAGCAGGTTCCAGGCGAAGATGCAATACACATCAAAACTCTTCATTATAGTGAATAATTTCCATAGTCTACTTTGTAGAAACCTGTCAATCTTTAAATCGCTCAAGAGAAAGAAGAGAAATGGAAATATAGATTACTGATATTATATATCTGCGAACCTTGATATAGTAATATTCAAAAAAATAAAATGCATGTTTCTATTTGTACTCACATCCTGCTGACTTTACCCCTGGACCGCATCCGTAGGAGGCTGAATCACCGAAGACATAGTGGAATGACAAGAGGAGAAAGAGCTTCATGAAATAGGCCATTATGTTTCTGTCAAGGCCAAGTATATCTGAAAAAAAAAGTACAAATATAGCGAGATATCGAAAACAATAATTTCCAAAAATCATTAATAATAATATGTGTAGATTCTCAAGAAAAAAATTATACCGACATGCAAGATTGTTTACGTTCTAAGAACGCCACTGTTTTATTTCAGGACCTAAATATTTCCCAATAGCTTGGCTTAATCCAGTTGTCTGCATTCAAAGAACCGTGTTATTAAGCAAATTATAGTAGCAATTATTGATTTCTTGCTTTGAGAACAATCATAAACTATCTATTTTACACGCTAGCTTACTTTACACTCCTTATTCCATCTGCATATTATTAAGGAACAATAATAATAATAAGTATATAGTTTATGCACGTAGGAATATAATTAGAACTGAATTTTCGTGTAAGGTTTTTTTGATGTTGAAATATCTTAATTGGATCCGGATAAGTACTATTTCTACAGCTCCCAACATGAAATTGGTCCGCCTATATACCCTTCATGTAAATGTAAATTAAGGTTTCCTAACAACTTTAATTCTCCACGAATATTTTAAGAACAGAAGAATGCTGGGACAGAGAGAAGGGGAATTGCAAGGCAGAAAACAAAATCAATATTCCAATGCAGATTTAATGAAACTCACCATAAACAAGCAAAACAAAAAATCGCCAACTGTGAAACTAATTTGCTGGTTTTGTCTCATCGAATTTTTATGTTAAACTGGTTGAATTAAAGGACTTATTGTAACATTTATAACGTTGCCAATTGATACAAAACCACATAAGACTAAGAAGTCAAATGAACAATATTATTAAGAAAAATACGACTTGAAAATCTTGGAAATATTATAGAGTGCAATTAAGAAATCTTCTTGACAATTACATACGTACTAGGAAGTTCAATAAAATCGACTTTATGCACAGTACCTACGATTTTTTGCTGATTTCTTGCCAATTTTTTTAAATTATTTTCAAGAAAATTGCTACATCAATGAAAATTGCCTCGATAGTTGATTTATAAAGTAGCTATAGACTGTTATTATTACGATACTTTGGTTCTCACAAACTAAACAACAATTATTTACGACGAACATGAATACAAGTTGTCTTACCTTTAAACCCTATTGATTATACAGGGTAGCACACCAATGACTCATTTTATTCAGTGAGAAAATTTGGTAAAATAACACAGGGTATTTTTTGTGTGTTTTATATTTGCCTCGAATCTTGAAAGAATAGAGACTCTAATATCAAGTTCTCTAGGTTTATCTATGTACAGGAAGTTTTGGTTAGCAAATATGTTGTTAATAAAATAAAATTAAAAAAAAAAATTACTTTAAACCTTCATGATCTATTAATTGGAGTTTCTTTTTCCAGGCAAATTAAATATGGTTAAGGAGTTCGGAAATAGAGTTAGGATATTTTTCCTTACATTGATGCTTGAAGGAAATTGAAAAATCGAAAAATCCCAAAATCGCATTTGAAAGTTCCTGAGAAATACTTTCATACAGTGACTTCAATCTCACAGGATTTATAAACTAGATTATCTTTGCTAAGGCAAAATAAATAAGGAGTGAATTTAGGTCTGGAGTAAAGATTTTATTTTGCATCTTGATGCTTAGAGGAAATTAAAAAAAAGTCACGTCCAAGTGACTTTAAATTAAACCTTTAGGATCTATAAATAGGATTCTTTTGTATGGCTAAGATACCTTAAAGGTCATTCAAAAGCTCGCTCAAAAGCAAATAATTAGAAAAATAATTTTCCTGAAACTGGAAAATTATTAATCTATACATCAAAGAGCTTTTATAGTTACTTAAGAAGCCGTTTAAAACGTCTGAAATAGACATAAGATAAGATCAAAAAGATGGCAAAGACGTTGAACCCAAAAGACCAAAACAGCAGGGACGACATGGCAAACCAGAACAAAACGACGCTAACATGTAGCTTCGCCTACATCGCATCTCTAAAAGAAGAAGAGAATTCAAGGAAACATATTTTAAAAATTCTAAGCGCAAGAGCTCCGCTTGAAAAAGACAGCAGTAATCCGTTATTAAATTGTCTAGAACTTTAATATTTCTGATATGACTTCAATAAGTAGGACTTTGTAAAGGCCTTTAGAAATTATTGATAGAGTGGAATTTAATTAAAACAAAATTATAGATGAAGTGAACTGAAATTATTTTTTTTGCCTTGGCTTTCGAAAACGGTAATAAAGACTTTGGTAATAAGATAAGGACACGTGAATATTTTCACGATAGAAGCTATTTAATAATTAAAGCAAAATTTCAAAAGTTACAAGACTCAATAAGACTGTCTTCCAATGATAATGAATGAACGAATTTGATCCGCCATTGTATAGGTTTAATGATGTCAATATAATGGCCTACAGGTAGAGGGTTTTCAGAATTTCAATACCAGAAACATTTTAGTCCTTTTCAGTGGAATAAAATAACATACAGAACTGGCATTGTATTTGTTGAAAATTCACGGAAGTCTTTGCTAATAACCTTAAAATGTATAGGATTTGTTTCCTTTAAAGGACGTATGAGACCCTTAAAGGTATACATAATAAACACTTGCTTATTTAAGCAGTCTTGGATGGCAAATTCAAAGTTTCGTTTTAAATTTAAACAAGAATATTTGAATTGACCGTTCCTCGAATCCTATGTCATTATTTAAACTCATATGCATGCGTTGCGTAGTTAAACTTAATGTCTTTTTGGTCTGCGAAAAATAATTACGTCCATAGGTATTCATCTTCAATACCACAATAGAACGATAAGTACTTTTCAGAAACTTGCTGTACCTATATTGCACAAGCAGTATAATAGTACAGAAGGACGTTATCTATTAAATTTATTCAATATATATGTATGTGTTCCTGTTACAAATTTCTCCAAAACTAATTTCCCGTATAATTGTGAAACAATTGCCCTTTGAAATTCCGTAACGTAGAAAGAGGAGACAAATTCTTCTTAGGGTGGTTTCTTTCGGTTGCCTTGGTGACATGTTTGACATAACCAACCGCGTTCCGTATAGACCGGTTTTTCAGGAACCAGACATTACGGAACGTGTAACCGTAACCAAGGTAGACAACGGAACCCACCCTTAATATTCCTCAGGGTACCATATTCTACCGCAAATTAATTCAAGGGGATGGAAAAGTATAAAACCTATTTAAATTCAGTAAAAAAGTATACTTCAGATACTTCCAAGACTCAGCAAGGACATAAGACAAAATAATAAAACAAGGAGAAACAAAACCCAGGAATAAACTTGTATGTAGAAAAAAGATCAAGATACTTACAACAGAGACAAATAACTGAGCATCAAAAAAGAGCACAGGGTAGACCACTGAAATGCTGAATATCTACGTCCTGAGAGGAATCGAAGCTTTAAATAGGACATTCATATATTAGAATGAAACCAGAAAACGCAAATTGTGAAGGGTGAAAATGTAGAGATGTAAGTCAACTTAGAAATATTGCATCACTACACTACTATCTACCATAGTGAAAATTATGAAAATAGAGGTGAAACCTTACATTAAAATAAAAAGTTTCACAAAAACTCACCAAAAAAGGACTAAGAACTTCACTATTTATTTTGAAGTTGGTATGCAACCTTTATTTCAAAAATTCACAAAACAATTTTGGCTTTAAAAATATGTTGCATAATACACAAATAACAATCAACAAAAAAAAAAGGAAACAAATATACCTAACACAGGACATTCAAATTCAAATGTAAAAATTAAAAAAAAAAAACAAAAATTAAATTAAATGAGTTAAAAAAAACTTACTTGGAAACGATTGTTTCTCTACGGAGGCGAACAGAACTATGGCAAAACGGATTGATATTTGAAAAAGTGTGCAGCCAAATTCAATTAATTCTCTTATCTTAATTGTCAACTTTTCTGGGAAATGGTAACTAAATTTCTTAAATGCGGTGATTTATCGGTATTTTGCTATTGTTTTGTGCACGATTTATATGAAACAATAATCATAATGTGGTACAATCATAAAATTTTATGCATCTGTTTATGCAGATTGATTTTCGCGAAATCAATTAAAATTAATTGGCGAATGTTGAAATTTGCTTTAATTATTATCGATTTAACGGTCTTTTTTGAAGAAAAAAAAAAAGAACACCCGTGGCTATTACGTAATGTGAAAATTATACATATTTCAAATTTGTGTCTTAATATTTAGCCCCTAACGAAAGCCCAAGGTTTTTTTTCCAATGAGGTTGATTGTCGATGGGAGCAGATCTATAAATTCGAAATTACTTTTTCAAAAACTTTTCGATCTTCTTAAGCCAATTTTTTTAGGGTCAGTAAACAATCAATCAAAGTAAACTAAACTAGAGTCTATATGTTTGCCTCTTTTAGAAGCTGTGTCATGTTGCGTTGGGTTGTCATAAATTAAATCTTTAATTTTCCTTTAATAGTATATTGTAGACCTAGGTGGTAAAGTGACATTTGTTAAGGCTGAAAGAAGAACTGTGCGGGCGAGCCTTGGCAAGCCCAGACACTTCTTGAAGCCTGGAAAAATCACTTTACCGGAATGGTAATTGGAGTTGTCAACTTTTTGCAGAAATCTATATTATAGTCGTATTCACGATAGATTTTAAATTTTGACCGTTATTTTCACCAGTTGAAAGTAAATAAAATCCCTAGATCTGTCCCTTTTTCTGTCAACCGTCAAATACATGACATCTCGATTTGACATATAAAATTATCAGATTCGGATCTTAGAATTTTGAATTTTTGCGCGTTTTAGTTTATAGCCATTTTCTGCATTATTTCTTGATATTTTGTTATATTCTCATCGGTTTTTTGGTTTTTTATGTAGTGTTCTGTACCTTTGTGTTTCGGTGTTGCGTTTCATTTCAAACCTGGTTTTAGTTCGGATTTAAGTGTTTTGTCTTTTTATAAGTGTTCACTTTGGACTCTTTCAAGACTTATCTGGGTTATTTTATCTTCTTCAGGTAAGTTAAACCTAATACTTACAAAATAT